TTAAAAATAATTTTGTATTCACATACAAATTATGTATTATATGTAAATGAATGGTATATAGATTGTAACAGCATTAAAGTATTGATATTGGATACAACCAACATATAAAATAAAATATATTTGATGTTAATTTAATAGTATACACGATAAATATCACATTAACTATAGTTATTATAACCTTAATATATATAGTACTTAAAGTGTTAAAAAATTTTTAAAAAAATGATTATTAATTTATGATTATGTGTTGATTTTAATCAAGAATAAATATTTGAACAAAAAGTTGAATAACAAAATATGATTTAAATAAAAATTGACTTTATTGTTGTTTTTAAATAATGGTCTTTATATATTACATAGTCTTTCAATATGTATATGTATGTAATGATTTCATAGTGTCAAAATTGTAATCACAAATACAGTCATGAATAAATAAAGTTGTTCTATTTTTTTAAAAATAATTTGTTATTTTTTTAATGACACGTGTTAAACATATCAAAAATAATATTTGGTTGTGTGATTATATTAACACGTAAATGTGTATATATCAACACACAAAAACAACCAAAAATAGTGTTATTGTTCGTTTTCATCTTCTATTTTTATTTCATATTTTATGTACACGTCTTCGTGTACAATAAGTTGAAAAATAAAATAGTTGTAAACTGTATTATTTTCTTAAATTTTGTGTTACTTTTTAAATTTTAAGTTTAATGTTACATGTTTACACAATAAAAGTTACCGCTTTTAATTTTTTGGGCTGTTTTTCAAAACAAACGTGTAGCAATAAATAGAAAAACTTATCTGTTGTTATTAAATTATTGAAAATTAATAATTAATTAGTGTTTCGATTTTAATTAATCATTATTGTTGTTGTTTTAATAAAATACAAATGTTTACTGTTGTGTGTTGTGAAACTTAAAATAAAAAAGATAGTAAGAAAAATGTATATTATATATTGCTTGTAGGTAATTATAAAGAAAAAGATGTTGAATGAAAAATGAGTATATCAAAGTGGTTGCAAAATGAAATTGATAACAATTGATTGTTTTAAATTTTTCTTTGTTTTAACAACATGTAAAATTAATTACACAAAAGTTACAATTATTATTTGAGAATAACACTGTTATTAAAATATATTATACGATTGAAAATTATATTTAACAATTACATTTGTTTCTACATTATTGTACTTATGTTATTTGTTTGTTTAAACTTTTTACCATATTGATAACTTTGTTGTATGAATAATTGAAAACGCTGTTTTCAAAGGGTTAATAATAATAATATTTATTATGATTAATTACACCATATCATATTACAATAAACCAGCTTCACGCT